TGAAGTTTCTGAGTAGCTAATAGTTTATTTTATTTGTTGTTTTTTTTGTATACATTCAAGTATATATGATGCATCATATGAGTAGTTTGGAGCGAAAATGTAATACAGAAAAGTTGAGCGGAAAAATGTCCATGATGAATGAGCGGAAAAGGGATAGCTATATAGTAAACTATAGAGAACTTTTTATCTTTTCATTTGACATTTTTCCGCGCAACATATCATCATTATAATCAAAATAGTCAATCGCATGCTGTTATTTTTGAAGTACATGTCAAAGAATGTAATATTCGGATCATAAATTTATTTTTGGAAACAAAAATTTATGAATAAATTGCATTGCACATTTAAAATTGAAATGAGATGCGTGATTGTTAGGAAGAAAATATATTTTTTTATTTCAATATATTGAAATCTATAAAAAGCAATGGTTCCATGGCTATTTCTACAATACTGAAGCTTAATTACTAATCAATGATCATTCTATCAAGTTCTCTTAGAATATCTTCAGTTCCACCACTTTTGCAGATGAAACATTCATTCATACGGAACCAGCAATTTGATCGATGATCTTTTCGAAACAATACACTTCCTTCAAATATTTTATTATCGGGGCAAAATTCCCACACTCTTTTATTTTTCTTTTGCTTTGTCTGGGGAACTTGTCCATATCGGATGTGACAGCATTCGTTTACGACGTAAGCGACACACGGAGACAGATGGTCAATGATAATATACCAATTGATTATGATGGACTCATTGAAAATATTATCAAAGACGATAATCTAATCTCCTGATAATCTATCAAGTGTGATTTATCATCAAAGATACAGGGTGTCGATGCAATTGAGCAATCGCTTAAAACAAGCGATCACATTTTGAAATCGTCAGTTGATTTTTAAGCGTTGAAGGAATCAGATGGAAGTGTAAAGATCTAACTTAAGTGAAGTGTTACAACAATATTTCTCTATAAAAAAAGTTGCTCAGTGACTTCGTTTTGATTAGGCAATTCAAAAAACGAGAGCTGATTTTTTTTACATTTCGAATAATGAATATATGAAAAAATAATCTAGAAAAATAAACAGATTAATTCCGAAATACTTTATTATAACGAATAAAAATGGGAAATTCCGATGAGCAGATGACCGATGGTAAGTAATCTAACCAGTAAAGGTTCCTCATTTTGAATAAAATTTTTACAAATGCCATATGCGTTCGATAGGACTTTCCCAAAGACACTTTTTGGAAATGTCCAGTCGTTTAGAAGTTATGGCCTCCGGAAAAATCGGGGTTGCCAACTTTGAGCCCCCCTAAAACCACCCCTCGGGGAAATCGCAACGAAAAGAAATATTGTTTCGGAAGTTTTGAGGGATGCCCTATCGAATGCATATGGGCATTTGTAAAAATTTTATTCAAAATGAGGGACCTTTACTGGTAAGTACTTCAACTACAATTATTGAATCATCAAGGAGAAACATTTTTCAATCAAAGCAATCTATTTTGAGAATCCGACATTCATTGTTCAATTTTTATCACATAATTTTATTTTCTTAGTTGAATTAACACACGAGTAACGGGCAAATAAACTTTATATCGGTAAAAATATGCAAAATCTACTAAATCCCGACAATTAAAAAACTTTGACATCAGTCATGTATTTTTTCCAATATCTTTACTGTACTACTGCAAGGTAGTAAAAAAAATCTCTGACTGAATTATATTTTTTAATACTGCAAAGGAAAACTGGGTTTAATAAAAATAATTAGACAAATTAATAATTGGTAATTTCTTTCACGTCTTTTCACGAGGCAATCGCGTGTTCGTAAACGTAATTTAGTTTGATCTCTTTATCAGTAAATTCATAACATTTGTGGTTCTTTATTGAGTACAATCAACACGAGCAGCTCCACGTGAAACTATGAGTTAAAGTGTTTGAAGTGAAATACTTCAACTGTTGTAAATCATTGCTTCGATTATAGTTCAGTCATTCATAAATCCGTTAATATTGCCATTTAATTTGTCTGACATTTCAGGTTCAAATGAACAAAATAATTCAAGAACGTTATCAACTGTTGAAAATGCTGCACCACAAAAACTTCCCTATCCGAAACGTGTATTTTTTATCATCGGCAATGAATTTTGCGAACGATTCAATTTTTATGGAATGAAAGGTAAATATATATATTGTGTACTTTAACGACCTAATTTAATCGTACTAGCAACAATATTATGTATATTTTGATAGCAATTTTGGTACTTTACTTCAAAAACAAATTGGGTTATTCTGATAAAAATGCAACTGTGGTGTATCATATGTTTGAGATGTTTGTGTACTTTATGTGCATCTTTGGCGGTATCCTTTCTGACGTCTGTTTTGGCAAATTTAACACAATTTTGTATTTATCAATTGTTTACTCGATCGGAAGTGTTATTGTGTCAATTGGATCGATTCCAGTCATCGATTTTTCACCCGAAATTGCACTGTACATTGGGTTGACTTTTATCGCACTTGGCAGTGGTGGGATTAAACCATGCGTCTCATCCTTCGGTGGTGATCAATTCAAAATGCCGGAGCAAGCAGCCCAAATCGCCACATTCTTCTCATTGTTTTACTTCTCAATCAATGCCGGCTCGCTCATATCAACAACAATCACTCCGATTTTACGAGCAGATGTACATTGTTTCGACGACAATGATTGTTTCCCACTTGCCTTCGGAGTGCCGGCTATTTTGATGGTTGTATCCTTAGGTAAGTTTCCTTTTTGTTAATTTGAAGATCCTCTCATTTTCATTTCGAATTTCAGTATTTTTCATTATCGGAAAGTCATCGTATACATACGCAAAAACTGCCGAAGAAAACATGATCATTCGCATGTTTAAATGCATTACGGTATGAAATTGTGAAAAACTTCCCTGAACTTCATTAGAATGTCAAGACTACATGAATTAAATTGGTTTTTATTTTCAGAATGCGATCTCCACCAAGTATCGGGAAAGAAGTACCAATCCCCGTGAAAATCTCCTCGACTATTCAATAGACAAATATGGAGCTCAGTTGGTTAGCGAGACGAGAGTTATGCTGAAAATTCTTCTGCTCTATTTGCCCTTGCCATTCTTCTGGTCTCTATTCGATCAACAAGGCTCTCGATGGACATT